CAACGATCTAACTAGTTTAGACTAAATGGCAAAAAATCCAAGATTGCTCTGGATGACTTACCATAGTAACTTCGGACACCGATCGCACGTTGCTGACCACTATCGAGACGTTGATTGTGACAGGCCCTGAATGACTCAAAATACAGTTCTGAGGCACTATTACAGTCGAACAAAAGATCAATTTGTGTTACAACTTAGAAATATGAACTCTGTTCCACGCTGGGACCTGTCCGTAATTGCGGACCTAGTGAAAAAAGCCCAATGAGCTTCGAAAAAGCTGATATCGCTCATATTCTTTGATGCTCTTATGACATCTGATGGCTCCTTTATGTGCAGGTCCACAATTACGACAAGCACCCGGCGGAAGGTGGAGTGTAGGACATCGTAATAAAGTCCAGAAAGTGTTCTCAAATCAGTGCATTTTGCAGGAACAGCGCCGCAAAATGGAACCGGCCCCGCCCATTTTTAGGTGTGTTGTTGCTCACTAATCAGACACTTAAAATCTCCCCTCTTTTGCGTATAACTATGCGTACATCCTACATTCAAAAATTATCTTGTACATAGAAGTTAGTAACAATTCAATCAAAAGTCTCAATAATATCTTAACCAAAAGTATCCAGTTAAAGGAACGAGTCAGTCTAGTTATTTATTAGAACTATGCCGCAGAATAGATCCAGCCCCGCCCACTCAGTTATGGCGCAGTTCTTTACGATTTTATCTGCAACACAGCATTTTCATAAATTTGAAAGTGAACGAGGTTCCTTATTCTGCGTACCGCCATGATCATCATCTGGGCATTGTCTGTGGTCGTAGCTGATTTTCCGCAGAAATTGAAGAAAATCACGTGTTTCCCTGAAAATGGTAGATAAGCCGTGGTTCGCACGTCACGACGCTACAACTGATCCAGGGCGAAATTCAAAAGAAGTGACCCACCCCTGCTCGTAGATGCGAGCCCGATCGAGTTCGTTTTTCGTATATTCCTCTTCTTCCTCGTCAAGTTCCTCCAGCTCTTCCACATTATCGTCTGAGTCCATCACAAGTGCTCCCCGGACAGCGCTAGCCTGCGAATATTATTTATCGGTTCGCGTTCGAAATCGGGCAGAAAATAGACTAGCCAACTGGAAGAGGCTAGAGAAGCAATGTTGCGGTGCCATAAAATATGGGTCCATAAGTTGTGCCCTGTCCTCCCACTGTGATGGAAGGGAAATTCCTATTCAAAATATATTCCTTTCCACAATCGAAATTGCTACGCGAAAGCCTACATGCGAGTACATATTATCAAGATATGCGTACATATGTGTAATAGAAATAAAATAAATAAAAATGAAAATAGAAAAGTGGAAAAATAGAAAAAAAAAACAAAAAATTGCCCCGAAATAGAGAAAACGAGAACATTTTGTTTTCGACACCCTAATACCTCGTCTATTACAGCAAATATTAGATATTTAGAACTTCTTGGCGTGCCATCTGTCTATTGTCAAGGCCCCCACGTTTTTTATTGATGAATAAGCAGTTTTCTAACCAAGTTTATTATACAGAGAAGCAAAACATTACAACAAAAATAATGGAGGCAACCAAAATAAACTAGCGAATAAACAGGAAGATAAACAGTGCGGACCATACGCTGGTCGCGCTCACTTTGCCAAGCGGACTTCTCGGTGCCTTATCAATTACATATGTTAGGCGCAGTTGAATAAGTTGACAATCAAATCTTTGAACGGTGGGACCCTCCAGCCCCGCCCTGGTGTACAGAAAAGGTTTCATAGATCAACAAAACGACCTAAAAATGGTTGGCATACCTCTTTGTGAAGATTGACGAGGATCACGATGACAAATATGTATTTCATTTGCAGAGATATGTGGGTGCGGAATCGGGCCAATCGATTTCTCAGCAAAATAAGCTCTGAAAAGAGAAAAATTCGAGCACGAGAGAAGTGACATGAAAAATGAGCAAAAATGAAAAAAAATGAAAATGACGGAAATGACATAGAGATGGAAATAACAAGTGATGAATCTGTTAGGGAAATCTTGGCCACACAAGGGGAAAAGGATCGGCAGACACGTCGAAAGAATGATAGGAAACGGTAAATTATGGTGTAACAATAATAACAAACAGGGAATAATCACGGCGGTCAAGGGTTAGACTCTGTCTGCATGCTCTCAAAGCTGCCGAGTCGATCCCTGCCGAGGTCAGTCATGTCCTACGGAAATTGCGAAAAAGGTCTTATACCAGGGTTGGGCCCAGGTTGGCAGGGCGGCTTGATGGGGATTCCTGTCATAACAAGTATGCCTGAAATCGGAAAAGGAATCCATGGTGTAAAAATAAAGTTGCCACTTAAAGGGGTGGATTCTACTTCTTTCGCCGTGTGCCCGTGGATGCGCCATGCGATCATTATGCGTTTTGAAACTGTAACTTGATGAAAGTGAACATCACAGACAAGTCCATAGCGCTATCGGTCTTACGATAAGAACTAGTCCAGTAGTTCAACGAAAGATTCGAGAGAGATGCTCGTTTTAACTACAAATTTTTATATTTTTTTATTAATCGTGACCCGGCTTGATCTCTAATTTTTTCCCTACTGATAAATATTAACATAGACAAACGATCGGTTTAAATATTCAAATTGAAATAGGCATCAATAATACGAAAATAAAGAATAAAAAAAAACAAAAAATTTTTTTTTTTTTTTTTTTTTTTTTTTTTTTTTTTTTTTTTTTTTTTTTTTTTTTTTTTTTTTTTTTTTTTTTTTTTTTTTTTTTTTTCCCTTTTTCCTAATCTCCAACTCTAAAAAAAAAAACCATGCATATTTAAGCCCAAGAGGCGCATCCAAATTTAGGCTGTAGCAAGCTCAAAAACCATGCCCGCAATTATCCGTGATAACCCAATTGAATGTGTCGAAATGACCGCCGTTCTGGCAGCCGTCGATGTTGGTCTCAAAATGGAAGAGTTGAAGCGAAGAAGGACCCCTGGGAGTAAATTAGGCTGTTTTCGGATAGTTTTCGAGGGTAGAACACTATTCATCTTCCACTAGCACATATTCATGCAGCAATTTATGTACGTGTGCCTCGGCGCGGATTTGCGTAGCTGGCTTAGGAGGCCTCAGGTGCAGATGCTCTCGTCACTCGATCCAGTTCTGTAATCCTATGCAACCAAGAGTCAATTATTGGAAGGGACTTTTCCAGCGAACGGGGTCGTTTTTGGAGTGCGGTTCGCTTGGAGGCTTTTGAAGGGAAGTTGTAGTGATGGAAGAATCGCCTTGGAAGGGCGGAAACGTAGGAAAACTGCCTATTCGGCAGTAATATTTTAACCTCCCCCTCCACCTCCCCTCTCATTTAACGGTATTATTGGAGTAAATTTAGGGGAGGAAGCCGTAATTGGAAATTTATCGACTGATGGCATCTTCATAACGAGACAGTGTCGGTAAAAGCTGGTGAAATCGGGACAGCGGACCATTGGCCCTACATCCAGCTAACACGACCGTTTATACCCGCGTTCATTTGACAACCACCTTGCCTCTAAAAGGCGGAACTTTACGGTAGAAGACAGCCGCATCGCAGTAGAAGGTAGAGGTGGATGCCGGAAAATGAAGTAACAACTATAAGAAAGGCAGAAACCGAGAATGAATCCTTTCATTGTCGTCTGATTTTGCAATGAATGCGGCTCTCCCATCGTGCTTGCTCTCTCAACAAAGCGCTCTCTCTGCTAACGGCTATAGACCTGCGGTGAGTCACTAGCTCGCGCGTGTGGGCGTACCGAAGGCGGGCCATAGCTAAGGCCGCCCGGGCATTTACTCGCTGTCAAAATTGCGTGTCGGGCCCCCGTAACACTTAGGGGTCGGCCTGCCTTTGTCCAACAAGTGTAGGTAATATCCCTTTTTTCCAGGCGACTTTATCGTGAATTCCTCATTTAGGACTGTTTAACTGAGAATATTCATATCAATATGTCGACCCATCGAGTCTCTGCGCTAGCGTAGTGCCAATGTAAAAATTTCTAATACAAAAAAGCATGAGAAAGAGAGCCAGATTCGAGGGTTTTGCCAACTGCTGATACTATTTCTGTCTTGATCTCTCTAATTAGTTAGGCAAAAAACCGCGTATAGCAGAGTTGTTCAAAGTGTTCGGAATTGTCCAAATATTTTTTACTACTTCCATTTAGACAGCCCTTAGGAGGGGGGAGGGGGGGGGGAATATACACCTATCCGATATGCAGGGCCAATGTTGTTTTTAATTCAAAATAGCAGATCTCGAAATGAATTAACCGGCGTGACCCGACGTAGACGGGCGCCTCGTCACCCTCGGCCCGTCACATCACTTCCGCCCTCGATTGGAGCAACATAACGTCACTTTAATGCAGTTTTTAGATGTGAACGAAGTTCTGTATTGAATATTAGCTCTAAGCAATGATAAAGAGTATTTTTGACTTATTTTGGTTATTAATAATTAATGAGTAACTGCCTCTACAAGTTTGTACTGCGGCCGGAAAATAATATCGTACAATTCAAACCTGGCAAAACGTTTTCAGCCAACAAATAAAAACAGACTAATCGGTGATGTTTTCCTTTGTATTAATTCACAAAATGATCCACTGTGCAAGTTCTTTAATTCAGCGAATTCGACAACCATCCAAACCAAATTCTCTGCAGCCCTCAGCTCTCTCATCTGGTACGGCATAAATATGGTTTTGAACCCAGCGAAAAAAGGTATGGTCGAATAAGATCTATGAGAACAGCGGATTCTGAAAAAACTTCTTTCTGACAGATTTTGTCTCCATGTGAATCAGAGAATAGCAGCTGTCAAAATGTCGATTTCTGCCGCCCGGGCTTCCCAACTTCAAAGCACTATATTTGGGTTAACTTACAATAACTGAAGAAAATAACAAACAACATTGTTCTATGGGCCGAAAAATGTACCTTTTGAATCGTTACGCGATTTTCAAGGTAATACTATGTGTCCAGTAGGCTCGAAAAAAAAAAGTGTTACGAATGTATGACTTAACATGATTTATATATTTAAAAGATATTTATACTTCAATTATATTTATTGTTTAATTACTTATTATTATTTATATTCAATTACATACAACAACAATAATTGTATTGGTTTCAGTGGATTCACTCAGTATCCTTGCGGTAATTTTCACAACCCGAAATACTGTTTAAAACAACAGTTACGTAATAAATAAGGGCCACAGAATGGGGGGGGGGTGGGGTAACATCCAATAAAATAAATAAATAAATAATAAAATGAAATATAAATCGCAGCCTTGCGATTTACTGGCCAAATCTGCTAATCGATCAATCATGGTGGTCGCGTGTGACAGCTGCTAGCTATGGTAAACTTACCACATGGCTCACAAATCTCACAAGGAACAGGCTCTGTTGCCATGACCATTTAAGAAGAGATGTATACCGCTAAATTGTCGCCTCTGAATGGAATTATGAAGCAAAACATGAACTATGAAGCGCAACGGCAGTGGTCGGGATTTGCAGTCAAAACGTTGCAGGATGGGCCCCTGATCGCGTCTACTGTTTTGCCACTTCTAGGATGTGCAGCAAAAGGCTTTCAAAATAACGCTATTTTCCTGTTTCCTGAAAAGCCGCAAGACCAGTAAACGCGGATCAGGACTCATCCTGCGACGTTTTGACTGCACATCCCGACTACTGCCGTTGCGCTGTTTTGCTTCATAATTCCATTCAAAGAATCGTTTAGCAGATCTGGAAGATTGAGATCAGCGTCCAGAGCCACATCTAGTGGTACACATCTCTTCTTGAATAGCCAAGGCGACCTGAGAGCCTTTCCTTGTCAGCATTATTGTGATAATTAAAATATTATGTCCAAGCCAATACATATTCATCCACAATCTATAAGAGAGAAGCGAAGCTCTCTGTCAGTTGCTGGGCCGGATGAAGAACCAGAAATGGCTAGAATGTGTGAGAGATAGCACAACTGGAATGTGGTAATTTAGTGTTGTCCAGCATAGAGGGATTCAAAGCTCCAGTGGGAGAACGCACCCAGCATCAATCATCCCAAATAG